ATAGAATTTCCAGCAAACCCTCAGATAAATGAAGTCTTCCAGGACTTGGACAAGGAAAACCCACCTACAGCAAATGTACAAGACACAAAATTCAGCAGCGGCCAAGAAAAGTCTCCTATGGAAGCATCCCCATCTTTCCGTTTCGATCCTCAGGATAAGGTCAAATATACAGTACAATAAAAAGAGACCCTGAAAATAAACGAAATAAAAAAATAAAGCATACAAGCTTTCTTATGAACATCTTCAGAACCGAAAAGACTCACCCATCATCCAGAAACTTCACGGAATAAACACTCGAGTTTCGTCTGGAGTTCGATTTAGGAAATGGCTTCATTTTTCAAAAGCCCTTCAAGAAAAGGCCAATTCACAAGGGATGTTTCAAAAATCTAGTACGTTATGTGCACCTCAAAAATGACATAGTTTTCTTCAAGTTTCTACTAATCGAATAAAAACCCAATTTAAAATCAATCAAACAATTAAACGAAGTCTTTGTACATTTTAATCAAGCGGATGAATTAATTTTCGCTCATTCACGATTCGCATCAATCATCAGATTCAGCATTAATGGGTACAAATTGGCAAAATCCGGACACTTTTTTAATTCAAACAAAATGAAATCCTTATCGAGAATGCCTCTTTCAACGCTTCACAGCAATTGAATAAAATGTACGAATTAAAATTAAAAATGCGAGTTTGTCAAGCAAAAAAAAAAAGTCCTCACATGGAATTTTTCCAACTTCGACAAGAAAAATTTGAGCACTGAAAAATATTTCTTTCTTTTGTCGAATCAAACTTTTGGTTTTTCCCCTCCAACAAAAACTGACTAAATCAATAAAAAAAATAAGGACAAAAAAAAAGCTGACAATGCATAAATTTTGCACGAACCCCTCGTATTTCGTCTCCGTCGCTTACGGCTCTCCTGAGAGACAATTTGTCGCCTGCCTGAGGGGCATTATCGACAATCCTCAGAAAAAATGGCATCAACGAGGCTTTGGGTTTCATTTCCACCACTTTTCTCCTCCAGTCTGAAACTTTCCCTTTGGACTTCGAATCACTTCCAGCTGCTGTCCGTTTCCAGTGTGATTCTGCCGAGAATTTCTTCAAAATCCACAGAACCTGCGGAAATAGATTTAGAACCCAAGCAGAGAAAAATCGAAAGAGGTATAATTCGAATGGAATTTCGGACAAGAAATATGGGCTCTGACTTAACTCATGAAGGACAGTTTAATCATATCTAACCCCTGTCGAATTTTCCAAGCTTTTGAACCACGTCCAATTCTCAATCAAGTTAGAATATGAAAAAAACCCCCCAATTTGAAAAATGCACACTTCTCGAATGTCAAAAAAGTTTTGTAAAAATGTTTCGAGGTTTTGGTTCAGTCACTTCGGAATAGTAAAATGAATCATTTGTATCAATTGATCGCGTTACAATAAGACATTTTAAAAATATAGACAGAAAAATGGGCAGCATTAACAATAATTTCATTTATTACAAAGGACTTTTATTTTGAAATATTGTATTTCACATGAACATAAAAATAAGGAATAAGGAACATAATTTTCCTAAAAATAAGATAAATTTCTGAACCAGAAAATATTCTCTCAATATTGCCTGACCCTGTCTACAGTAATGCTTCATTCAACAAATACATTTATTTAGCTGGTGAGGGATTTCGAAAAAATTAAATCAACAATGCTGATCGTTGAAATTTTTTTCACTCTTTAGAAGGTACTTTTAAAACTTTTGAACTGTTCGACTTTTATTTAGTTTACGTTAAGTATAGTCAATGTTTCTGTGGGGTGGGGTTTTAAACGTCGATGATAAACTTCTGCAAAAAACTGTATACTGACCAACACAAGTCAGTACCATGTTATTTTTCTCTCTTCATGAGATCAATACAGAACCCAATTTTCTTTCTGAAAACTTCAACTAAGAAAAAAAAAACAGAAGAAAGAGAAAGAACTATGAGGAAGTTTTCAGCGCCAGTTTTATATTTCGCCAGGCAAAAAGGGAAACAGGAAAGAGTGAGAAAAGCCAGAAAAAAAAACGAGTTGAAGCCCGCGACCCCCGACCCAAAAAAAAAAAAAAAAAAAATTTGCATGAGTGAGCAGGGCCTGAATCCACCATTCAAAATCCGTATAAATAATTCTTCCTCTCTCATCCAATAAAACCTTGAACACATCATCCCAACGCCCGGAAAAGGCGTGATTTTTCTTCTTCTTCTCCCCCCTCCACCTTCTCATCTCTCTCTTATACAAAGAAAACAAAACAAAAAACCCCTCCTTAAGTTGTACAAAATAACTGTTACAAAATTAAAACTCTGCCTTATTCGTTCTTTCTCTCTCGCGATGATGATTTCTTCTTTTGTTTTAGACAAGGGGAAAAAAAAATTAGAAAAATCCCATCAAAGGATTCCGTTGGTGTAGTACTGGAACCCGTCGTAAAGTTTCGTTGACAAAGAGTTCATCGAAGCATCCACCATTCCGTCCTAGTCTCAGCACTCAACCAGCAGACAATCACTGTTTACCTTAGCCCGGAAGTCCGGAACCTAACAGCGACGTGGCGAAGCCTTTGTGCCGTCAACCCTGGGACGCTGTGCTTTATATTTAGTTACCTTCATCAATTTCTTTCAATCGTTCAAATCGCCAAAAAAATGGATGAATGAACATTTCTCGACTACGGCATAATCAGCGTGAAATATTTCTCATGATACCCATCTGAAAACAGACCCCACTTGGGGCATCGAACTCATCATCGTGTTCAACATTCACTAACAAATTTCCAACGTCTTTTGACAAACATTCTTGAGAAAAAAAAAAACCTTCGGGCACATTAATAGGGTATGTCAGATATAATTCATGCACGTCCCTTGCTCCACTAATTTAATCACGCAAAGAAATACGATATTTGACCATTTCCTGACACAACTCAAATTTGTAATAAATTTTGTTCAAATGAAGAGAAAACAGAAATCTGTAAGTCCAACCAAAGTGAGCAAATAAGTTTACCAGCCATAATGACAGGGTTTAAAACTCTTGCGAACAGGAAAAGAGCTCATAAATATTTAGAATCATTCAAAAATTCGTTTCAGCAACAATATCTCAGAAATTACGAACAAGACAGGGAATTAGAACAATTTTATAAAACTGTTTATCAATGAATTGATCATTCTATACGTTGATGATTATTTTCTGAAACTTCAAATAAGGGATATGGACAATATGAGACCAAAGAAAAAAAAGGACATGATCATTTCTGTTGGAAAATGTTTTCAGAAAACTAAAATACTTCACAATTCTGAATTTTCTTTTTCTACCTTAGCTCATTGAAACTCACCACAACGCATGATTTCAACCAGGGACAAAATCCTCTCGTGATGCTTCTTCAACGCGATCATCCCTTGGAGCATGAGGATTTTGAAGTACTCAAACATGTCTGAATCTCTGCCGCCCATTGAAACTCACCACAACGCATGATTTCAACCAGGGACAAAATCCTCTCGTGATGCTTCTTCAACGCGATCATCCCTTGGAGCATGAGGATTTTGAAGTACTCAAACATGTCTGAATCTCTGCCGCCCATGACTTCAACAAACTCGGGAGTCAGTTTGAAAGGCGACGTTTCAAAGCCCAGATTCTTCGGCGACGTTGACAAAATGAAACCAAAATCAATATGCACCAAGTGGCCCTCGGTGTCCAGCAAAATGTTTCCATTATGCCTGTCTTTCACCTGAATTAAAAACAAAATGAAACGAAAAATGAACAACAATTTTTTCTCTACGGATTTGAACACAAATCCGTTCGAACATTGTAAATATCTGACTTTCAATTTCAAACACAGCGTAAGGAATACCACGAGAAAAATGAAATCGCAGAAAAAAAATCAAGACAAAACCTCGCTAGGAAAAAAAAAGGACAAACCTGGACGAGATAGCTGACGAGACAATAGGCAGCACAAGATCTCACAAAATTCCTCTGAGCATTCAAGAAGGCCTCTGAATTCTGGGGACCGAATTCCGAGTAAAAATAGTGCACCAGACTGGAATGCCCGCTATGCTTCTTGATCTGATGCAAAGACATCGTGTTCAGCACGGGTTCGATCAAGCCACTGTCTTGAGACAACACCACAATACTGCAAAACAAGCGGGTAAATGGAAAAATTAAAATAAAATGAAACCGCTTCTTTGCTTTTCTACACGGAATAAGTCACAAAAAATTCATCAATAATAAATTAAAAATGCAAGGGTTCTTCACACTCGCGTCAAAAACTCTACTTCCTAGTTTTCGCACAGGTGTCGCTTGAAGTTTTAAAATGAATATTTCTAGGAATTACGATATGAAGAGACTGGGTGAGTCTGGCCCATATGAGTGCGGCGACACCTGCCGGAAATTTCATGAGAAAGTGAAACAGTTCCCTTGAAGTTCGACTTGAAGATGCTTGACAAATAATTTTGAGCAAGAGATTCCTCATAAGTTCTGAACTGTCTCAACAAAAAAGGTTTTTCCCCACTCGCCTCAACATGAACAAGAAAGAAATGAAGCCATGACACCCAATGCGGATAAAATGAATTCACAATTCCCCTTTTTTTCACAGTAAAATCTCGTTGAGACGAAGCCATGGGTTCAGTGAAATAGCTTCATTGTGATCGATTATTCGTTGCATACAGGAACGAGATTCTATACTCACTGGTAAGGCCGTATCCGCAAGGGAACCCGTTCTTGGGCCCAAACCTCAGCAAACACCTCCAGGACCTGCTGGGCCATCAGCTCCTGTCTCAAATCATCCCCGCACTTGACAATCACAGGCACCAGTCTCCACGTTGGAATGTGTCCATAAGGAGAACCGTCTCTCACTCTACCCACCTGTACAAAAAAATAAAAAAGCCATGAACACCAAAAGAAATAAATTTAAAAACAAACGCCAGTGATCCAGACCAAACTTTGCTGATGATGATGTTATTTCATCATCATCAGGGATCGTCCCATCATAATAACACAAAACCCAGGGTCGAGTGAGAAATACTTTTCGCAAGTCACTCGCAAACTGTCATCAGAAGTAAATAATTATTTTCCAACATTTCCACGACCTTTCTGAGTAAATCCACAATTCATTTCGACTTCCTGAGATGGAATGCTTGAAAAAAATACACTATGTTCGGCAGTGATCACAAAAAAGCAGAAATTAAAAATATGTCTGTGATTGACCATCTCCAAGGCACCTTGAAAGCAATGAAAATATCGGCCCGCTGAGAATTAGAAAAATTCAGCCTTTTAGCTGTTATTTCATGCTTGATTTCTCATCGCTCAAAAAATTCTCAAATTACGCGGGAAATGTCTATTAAATATCACTGCGTTGTGTCTGAAGATTAAAAAGTTGCGTTCAACTCAAAAAAGTAAATATGACTGATTTTTGCAGAATCAATAAAACTGACCATGTATCTTTTAGTCAAGTGTAATTTTCCACAGCATTTAGAGTTTAAAAACCTAAGATCATACAGTAATTTGATAATAAGAAAGGGTGTTCTTCGACAGACAACCTTAAATTGAAGCACAAATAAATCCTCAAAATCAGCGAACACTTCAATCTTAGATAGGTTCGCAAAAAATTCAAATTGTCGCCAACATTTCACGCATGATTCTTCTGAGCACCAATTTAAATAATAAATAATAAATCGGGGTTCTTCAAAACACAACGAAAAGGACGTAGAACAAATGTTGGAAAAGCCGTCCCACGATTTCATCCCCTTTAAACACGGACTTGAAATATTCTGAAAAATCTTCAAATTGTTGCCAATATTTCACGCATGATTCTTCTCAGCATCAATTTAAATAAACAATAAAAAATAATTCGGGGTTCTTCAAAACACAACGAAAAGGACGTCGAACAAATGTTGGAAAAGCCGTCCCACGATTTTATCCCCTTCAAACACGGACTTGAATATATTCTGAAAAATTGCGTCAAATCTCGAACCTTCTCCTCATAGGGCTCCTTGAGCACGGCCGCCGAAGGATCCTCGGGATCCCTCGTCTTGAACGCCGGCTTGTCCGCGGACGTACATTCCGAGAGACGACGACGCACATCCCCGGCTGCAATGTACACGGGTTCGGATGCCCCCGAAGATCCTCCTCCACTTGCTATGCTTTCCATGCTGAACTGAGAAACTGAATCCCTTTCTGTAAACCGCGTCAGCCTAAAAAAATAAAACAAAAATAAATAAACAAGTGAAGCAAGAAACGATCCAATTATTCTTGAAAGTTTGAAAAATTCGACATTTATTTCTGTGATCTTTCCTTCAAAACCAATTGATCGTTTTGTAAAACGTTATCTTACACAAAGAGCAGGGTTTTCATCCAAGAGGCTACAATCCTTGTCCAGAATCGGTAATTTACAATTTTAAATCAGTCACTAAATTCGTCAGGGAATTGAGAAGAATTTGACAGGTGAGTGTTCAGCTCTTTTCTCAGGCAAAAATAAAAATGTTTTTCCTCACAAATTATGAAGCAAAACAAAGCTCTCGAGTCCAGCAACAAATTGATGCAAATGATCTTCAAAAATGAATGTTGAAATTCGATAATTTTTTCGAAATGCCCGTCGGGATTTTCTTTAGAAACAATGCCCGAAAAACCTCGCTAACTCGAAAGCTTTCCTCCTCGAACTCAAATTTTCCGGAGGTCTTTCGGGTTTTATTTTAATTAGAATTTCATCATTTTATTAAGAAGTCATTTGAGGCGTAGATTTTCCACCAATAACAATTTTCTGTAATTCTTCTATCTTTCCAAGACGACTCGAAACCTCGCGAACTCAAAATGTTTTTGGGGGTCCGTTGAAGTTCGATCGCATTTCAAAATATGAAAATTCCAGAAATTAAAAAATTTTCCGAAAGACAAATCAACAAACCTGGCGGAATATTGACGAGACAGTTCATCCTCTTCCTGCGACCAACAATCCGCGTATTCGTCGTCTATCACAACATTTATTTGCGGCCTCGGGCCAGCTGGGTCCATGCTCACTGGCCCAATGCCGCCCGCAGACCCACTGACCGTCCCCGGCACCGTCACCACTTGCGGTGTCGACACTGCTGACGACGAAGAGCCAGACGTCGAGTCCTCCAAGGCCAGGTTTTCTTCCGACCGGACTTGACGGAGACGAGACGCGGAAGACGACGAGGCTGTCGACATTTTCGGCGGCACCAACGACGTTTCCACGTTGTCCACGTCCACGCATTCCACATACACCTTTATTTTTTCGGGAGGAAAAGGGGGAAAAATCGTTTTTTGAGGAGAGTAAAATTCATTTTCTCTGTAAAAACCTGCAGAAATTTTTTCCTTTTAAAAATTGAAAAATTCAATGAATAAATGCATAATAGTACAGAACTTTCGAATGCTTCCAGCGGGGGATGTGATCTCAAAGAATTTACAAATTGGAGGATGCTGGAAATCTACCCAGCGCACAAAAGTGGTCCACAATTTAAACCATTTCCTTCAATTCAGACTTCGATGCCATTCTCTCAAGAAATGAAAAACACGTCGATGAAAATGAATATTCACGCTTCATTTAAAAAAAAAAGGCGAGTCTAAAAAACCTGTAAAAGATGTGACCTTGTAGACATAGAACATTTTACAGATGAATAAACCAATGAACGCGTAATTTCTGTTTTCAAAAAGGAGTGCCTGCCATTAAACGCATGCAATCGTGTAAAGCTTAACAATTCCATGAATGAGAAAATCTTCCAAACGCCAAAGAAGTGGTTCAAAATTTAAACTATTCCATTGAATTGAATAGACTTTGACGACCATTTGCCTCGGAATAAAAACCATGTCTCTGAAAATGAATCTTCACGCTCGACCTCACTTAAATTTGACGGCTTCAAACGCGTTGTAAAAGATGTCAACTTGCATAATTGCAAATTATATGATTAAACGAGTAAAATTATTCTTGAGAGCTTAATTTTCGAAAGAAAAAAAAAAGCCTGAGATGAAACGGATGTGATCTCGTAAATTTTACCAATTAGGGCGTTCAGAAAATCTTCCCAGCGCACAGGAGTGGTTCACAATTTGAAAAATTATCTTCAACTTGATTGTATACATTAAAGGATATTTTATCTTGGAATTCAAACCTTGTTTCTGAAATGAAAACACACGCTTCATCTGACTACAATTTTCCCATTTTTAAAGTGAAGGCGCAAAACTGTAGAGAAAATCCTCTCATCAAAAGGGGAAAATTTGACAAAACTTCATGAAAATCTTCCTCATCCAAACTTACTAAATAAGGAGCCTTGTCTTTAGAGTTAAGCACAACTGCGGCTTGAGGCGGGATGCGGACAATGTAGTGTGGTGGAGTCCTACGGAATGGCAGCCAAACTTTGGCAGGCAAATTCAGGTTCAACTTGCACAATTCTGCATTCAATCCCTGCAACAAAAAAAGCTCATGTCATTCAGATCCACAAAAACTTGTTTTTCTCAATAAAAAATAATAATAATTCGTACCTGCGTCTTGGCATCCTTGGACCCAAGAGTCCCCAACCGCTTCCCAATGCTCACTAGCGTCTCCACAAACAATTGCTCAGGTTTCAGACGTGGAGCCTAATACATAAAATACATATTAGAATAAATAAAATTCATAATTGAAAACCTAAACATTTTTCTTAAAATAGTCGAGCCTCCGTTGACGAAATGAAAATATACAAGGACACATTGAAATGACAAGCAAAATGTTTTTTTTTTTTTAATTGTTGTGAACAAAATAATTGTTTAAAAATATGTGAAAATTTCACAAATGTAGAGAAGATGATGGTTAAAAGAACTGAAAAGTTTCAATTTTTTTTGGTAGGCTTACATTTTTTAGCCTAATTTTTTTTTTTTTCATTTTGACATGGGTGGAGAACTCCAGCAGAAACTGGAATGTTTTTACTCCTCATCATGCAGAAAATTGAACCACTTTATAAAAAATATTTAAAAAAAATCCCAGAACCTTAAGACATGAAAAATATCATTTACAGCCTCTAGAATATCCAAGGTCAACTCAGAGTGGGGCAACCCTCGCATGACATTTTCACAGAGCAAAAATTAAATCTTTTCTTTCCCAAAAGAAAAATACCTCCATCAGATTTCTGCGCACCAGAAAAAGGTTTCCCAACTTTTATTCTGCTTCTCAGAGAAATAGCACAAAGACTCACGTGACAGTGACATGAAGCGTTTGCGATGAGATCCGTGTCACTGGCATCCGTGCCGAGCGACATCTTGGCAATCAAGTAGCAGACACACCCGTTGTCAAAGGCCTTCCCGCTGCTCAGGTCGCCCAGACTAGATGCCGCTTGTTTCACAGCTGGCAGAGACAGGTTGTACCTCATTCCCAAACTCACATTGCATCTGTATCAGAGACCAAAAAATATAATGAAATGAACACTTGGACCTTGATTTAATATTGGTACCCTGCTTTCGGGCAACCTGTGGGATACATAGATGTCGCACCCACATTTGAATCTAGACAGAGCATCCTGTCTTTCTCAACCGCATTTACTAGATTAGGGGCCTTCAAGTAAGACATGCACCTAGATTTTTCTGCCTAGAATTTTAATAAAATCTTTTCCCTTTGTAAAAGACCCCCCCCCATTTCAATTAGCAAAAAACTGGAAATTAAAAGAAAACCACTCTTTGGAATTGAAACTGAATTCAATAAATTTTTCAATTTCAAATTCAAAAATTATTGTGGCTGAAACTGGTTCAACATTTCTCATCACTTAGTTCATGTCGTGTGTGGGTTTTAGTATTTAACAAGAACTTTAAGACTTGGTCGGACATATCGAGAAGATGAAGAAAGGAAGAAAAGTCAAAACACTTGTCAACTTGTTTTAGGAAGGGGGTTCTAAAACACACCCCTCATCCAAGTGAACAAAAAATAAATAAGAAACACCAGAAATTTGACTCGTGAAATTCAATCAATTTCGGATTTAAACCCATTAAAATTTTTTTAAGGCTAAAATTGGTCAAAAATTTCCCATTAGAATCAAGTATGACCCTCCTCCTTCTTTTGAATCCTTCAAATTTTGTGAAAATGATGAATTTGGTAAGTGAAAAAAATTTCAAACGGATTTTTCTTCCTTTTCTATAGACATTTCTCCTGATGATGTCTCACCTGTTGACCCTTCCTCCTTCTTTCCATATTCTCAATTTAGTGGAAAATGTAAATTCGGTAAATGGATAAAATACCGAAAATATGACAATAAATCGTCTTCGTTTCTTTCTTTCTTTCATAAAATGTCCTTTGATGATATATTGTCTCACCTGCCATCCATTTCGTCCACACAGTCCCCACCTCCGCCTCCGCCTCCATGACTGCCTGCATTCCTCGCGGAATGCAAACACGACATGTCAGAGCGCGACCGCTGGTGGCCCTTCTTCCCTGCACCATAGTCCCCGTCTTCCCTCGAGGGCTGAGTGAGTTGGCGACCGCATCCAGTTCCGGCGCCGCGGGGACGCCGTTTCGGCGGCATGACATGTCAGAGCGCGACCGCTGGTGGCCCTTCTTCCCTGCACCATAGTCCCCGTCTTCCCTCGAGGGCTGAGTGAGTTGGCGACCGCATCCAGTTCCGGCGCCGCGGGGACGCCGCTTCGGCGGCATGTGGGGCTTGAGAGCCGGCGGCTTTTTCGGTCGGAGTTCGTCAGACAGGATGAGTGACTTGAGTTTCGCGCCGTGCGACCGTTTCTTGGAGCCCGTGAACGCCGAGCTGGGCAGTGCGTAGGCTAGGTTCTCGGTCCGCGTAAGGTCTGACTTAAGGTGTCTAAGGGCTGTGGACGCGCATTTTAAATTTGTTTTTTTATATATTTACTTTCTTTGTTTTATGTCTCGCTGCTCCTTTGCTTTTTGCAAGATAAGACAACCCATTATTCTGCGGGGGTTGCATTTGTTGCTTGGTGATCAATTCGTAAAATAAGAAAAATTCGACCGGATTCTTGAACTCATTATAATTTCCTCCCTAAAAAAATATATGATCACTAGGTTTATGCTAATTATAATAAGTTTCCGCATTCTAGGAAGAGAAGGGACAAAAATCCCGTTTTCGGGAAAAATGGACGACTTAATTTCCCACGTCGTGATAATAATTTTCATTAAATTGCATACTTTTTTGCTCAAGAACGCGCCAGAAAATATTTGGTAAGTAGTACTACAGTACTGAACTAAATTTTTGGCGTTTTAGTGACGTGTCTTCAAGACATTTCTCGCATGAAAAAGCCTGTAAAAAGGTTCCTTCTTTCGAAAATGACTCGAACAAATTATACCACAGAAAATAAATAAATTCATCGTTTAGACGAAGATCATCATTTTTACCAAGCGTCTTTCAAAAATGATGCACGAAAGCGAAAAAACCTCAGCACTGTCTAAAATTAAAATCATGTATTCCTCCTCTCCGAAATTTAGTTGATAAACTTAAAATTATACCAAAGTGAGGGTTTTTTTTGGAACATTAACAAGGATTTTTACTAATGAAAAGGCAAAGGGAAGAGGTGTTTTTATTAGCGGGCGGTAAAAAATTTTGTTTCTGTTGTTTTTGGTTCTGTCTTCCTATTTGTCATTTATCTGTACAAGATATTTGAATCAAGCATGTTCCAAACTTTTTCCGCAATCAAATAATCCAGAACAGTATTTTTATTGAACCATCAAAGAGTTAAGATCATCACTTTCTTTCTCTGCCTATAAAAAAAAACACTTCTCAGACACATAAAATTTTGTACATGCATTATATCAACCCACTGGATTCTCGCAAATCAAAGAAAATACAGTTGAACCCTAATATACAGTACCTCCCTATGTAAATAAATTAGGAATGTCTGAATTCCTTTAGAAACCAAGCATTAAAAAAAAAACCTTTCTAACTCAAAGGCTTTCTTCCTCAGACGAGGTTGTGAAGTTAATAGGCCTCCGCAAAACCGAAAATGAAAATCCTGTGTCCTCTCTCTTTCCGTTATTTTACCGTAGAATTACACGAAACTTTCCTTCAATTTATGATTAACCCGTTTACTTGGCTCGTCTCCAAGTTTCGTATCCAGTCAACTCATTCAAGAAGCAATTCAACACCCAGAATTTCACCACTTTAGTAATTCTTTCTTTCTTTTCCCTGCAAAAATACAGCACTGAACTCTCGGTTAAGAAACTTTCCAATTGACAAACTTCAGGTTTTGAGGAAAAATTTGAAATATGTAAATCCATTTTAAGGCTGAAATTTATGGCATAATCTAGGTGCAAATAATTCACCTATGCACTGATATGAAAAATCTTCCCTTATGTGCAATTGTATGTTTTAAAATTTGTTTCAGCTACATTATTCCTACATGCTTTTCTTTGGCAGAATAATTTGCTCTTCTGAGCTTGGGTTTTCTTGTTGTTCAATATTCAATTGTTGGAAATGCCTATTTGATATTTATTTCCAGTATTAGAATAAAATTTCATTTTCACCTGACATTTATCCTACAGTGGCTGTTTCTCTGGATGTGAAGCTTTTTAATCTTTGTTTTCATGAGCGATACTTCCATATAACACAATAAAAACATTCTGGGGTTACACAAGATGCAGCAACAACTTATTCTGATTAGAGTTTTCTCCAACACTTCAATTATCCGGAGGCGTTTTGGCTTTTACTTTTAGGACACAGGAGAGAGAAAGGCAATAAAATGGCATCTTAATGTGCTTTGAAAGGAAGTTAAATACTAATTGGGCAAATGAACCTGCTTCCGAGTTTGGTATCCAGTCAACTCATTCAAGAAGCAATTCAACACCCAGAATTTCACCACTTTCAATTTCCTGTAATTCTTTCTTTCTTTCTTTTCCCTGCAAAAATACAGCAGTGAACTCTCGGTTAAGAAACTTTCCAATTGACAAACTTCAGGTTTTGAGGAAAAATTTGAAATATGTAAATCCATTTTAAGGCTGAAATTTATGGCATAATCTAAGTGCAAATAATTCACCTATGCACTGATATGAAAAATCTTCCCTTATGTGCAATTTTATTTTTAAAAATTGGTTTCAGCTACATTATTCCTACATGCTTTTCTTTGACAGAATTACTAGCTCATCTGTGCTTGGTTTTTCTTGTTGTTAAATTGTTAGAAATGTCTATTTGATCTTCATTTCCAGTATTAAAATACAATTCCTTTTCACCTGACATGTATCCTTCAGTGGCTGTTTCTCTGGATGTGAAGCTTTTTAATCTTTGTTTTCATGAGCGATACTTCCATATAACACAATAAAAACATTCTGGGGTTACACAAGATGCAGCAACAACTTATTCTGATTAGAGTTTATGGTCTTGTATTTTTTATATTCAATGTTCAATGGTCTTTTGGATTCACAGAATGGATTAAATTCTTCCCCACTGAAGTCTATGGGAAAACCAAAGTCAGTTGACAAACATTTGTCTGGATCCAATTAAGTTTGTTAACCAACGGTCCACTGTACTCATTCTTCTAACTCAAAGCCTCCCAAACTCTAATTTGCTCAATGGTCCATTAAAGTTCAACTTTGAGAGGTTCGACTGAATTAAAAAAAATGAAAAGAATAAATAAACGGAAAAAGCGGATGACTAATTATTTACCGTTCACTCATATATTTTTTTTTTCATACAGTATTTTCAAAAGCACCCTCGGAACCCACCTGGCGACCAGATACGGATGCAATGCCTCAGCCACGTCGGGCATCTGCACGTACATGTTCACCAACTGCGGGAGATAGAAATCCACGGCGCCTTTCTCAAAGTCAAACATACGGTTCACAATGTATGCCAGGACCCCGGGTTCTTTCGACTTGAACAAGTACGTCACTGCGTACGACACGTCAAAGTGCTCCCACTCGAAAAACCGCAACAGCCACGACTTGTGATGCTTCCCTTCTGCAAGCCAAAAAAAAAATAGATAAATGAATAAATACAGTAAAGGTAAACGAAGGAAACCCTGAGAAAATTTAAAAAAAAAGTTCAGAAAATTCAATAAGAGTTCAACCCCTCTAAGTCGAATTTCTAGGGACCATGAACAAAATTCGACTTAGGGAGGTTTTCATTTTTTGAGGTTTCCAGTTAAGAAAACGAACACTTTTGCTGCGAGAAGTAAAAAAAAATGTGGGAAATCATAAATGAGGATATTCTGGGTACACCTTGCTGAACTTGGAGGCAGGGGTTTATTTGCTATACAGTATTTGCCTTTCAATTCCTTTCAAGATGCATCAAATTATTCGTTTTAATCATTTTATCTTTCATATTTAAAGAAAAAAAATGACCAGAAGGCCTCAGAAAAATTCGACTGACAGAGGTTTTTAAAAAAAAAAGACTTCGAGTTAGGGAGGTTTTTAATGTATTGATACTAAGGGAATTCAGACAGGGACTTGAAAAAAAATTCGACTTAGGGAGGTTCCACAGCCATCTACACTTGGAACGATTTAAAGAAGCAATTCAAAGCTCAGCAGAATATCACCAAAAACAATATCCAATAATAATTCTTATTTTCTTTTCCTCCACAAAAACACGTCTTCTCCCCAATTCAAAAACATTTTTTTTTCTTTCTCGCTGGTCTCTTTCAAATTCAAATGGTTCCATCCCGAAATTCGAGATTCGACCAACCGCAAGACTCGGCGGCAACATCATCCTCAGCCTTCTTCGACACGGGCAAAGAAGCAGTGTTGTTGTCGCAGTCCTTGCCCTGGGGCTTGTCCAGGTCGCACGACACGCACCCAGAGTCCTCCGACGTGAGACTGATCCTGTCGGGGCCTTGTCTAGTCGACGCTGACGACGAAGTCGACGACGACACCTGATTATGATTCGTCATTATCGACGTCGACGACGACACTTCCGACGGCGAACACAGGGACGGCGTGTCCTCAAACGACGGCCGTTTTCCTGAACTGCTCACGCCACCTGACGTCAAAAAAGGAAAGAAAATAAATAAATAAATAAAACAATTGAAAATACGAATCGACGAATAAAAAAGAGAAAGCGACACGAGGAATTTCCTTGTTGAAACACACGAGACGACATCCATCCACTGATGCAAGCGATTCGTTTCCGAAACACCACGAACCGCAAGGGAGACAGAAATCCATCACGAATTCCCGTCCATTTTTTTTCTTTCTCTGGGTTGTGTCGGAAAATTGCCCGAGGGGCTTCCGGAAAATATTGATGAGAACGCATCAGAATTGTAAATCATCTTCAACAAAATTTAAAAACGTATAAAAACACTTCCTGAATTTTCATGATCCCGACTTGTCTCATTAAGTGGGATCAGTGACATTTCATAGCGGCAAAAACTTGAAAAAAAAAAATATATATATACTGTATTTTACAAAAAAACCGTAAATTTGACGACGTGTTCTTCAAAACAAAACCTTCGAAAATTTTCAACAAATCGAAAAAAAAAATCCATTTTGCCTTTCTTAGACTTGGAAATTTGTGAAATTGAAAACTTGAAAGAGCACAAACTTGTTGGGATAACATCAATTAATTGAATCATGAATAATTAAAAATCCAAATTTCATGTTGAAAAACTCTGAAAAGCACTGTACAGAGTTTTAAAGATGCATTACACATTTATGAACTTCCGTTTAAGGAGTTTACATAAAAGGACACTCCCAACGCAACTAATATTTTATTGAAAGAGTTTAAAATCATTCAAAAAGACGTTTTCGCAATATGGCTGGGTTTTTTTTCGATTTAAAATCCTCGCTCAGACGAGCGTCAGAAAAAAAAAATGTGTCATTGACGAAATGTCCTTAAAAAAAAAAGCTTCCAGAAGGAATAAAAACTCTACACACAAGGTAAAAAGCTACTTTTTCAACTTTCTCTCTTCTCCCACTCGCTCCATTTCAAATTTTTCCATTCTTTGTGCTCTTATACAGTATTCGCAAGTGGAAGAAAAATACGAGAGTCAGGGATTTGCGTCAGCCAAGTTCAAGAACATTTATTCGTCGTCACGCTGAATTTGCAGAAAATAGAAAATAGAAAAGAAAAAAATAAAATAAATTCGCCAGCCTTATTTTTTGTTTCACGCAGGTTTTCGGAAAGACAAAATGAGAAAAAATGTCCCCCCCCCCACCAATTCAACAGGTATGTTGAGCAATGAATGCATCTTTTTCTTTGTTTCCTTTACTTGCTTGCCCGACCTTCACAGCCAGAAGGAAACGGTTCTTTTTCCAGCGTCAATTACCTTCTCCCCTCCTGAATTATTTTTTATCTTCACCTTTCTTTTTCTTCCCCACTCCTGTCCTCCCTTTTTGTTCTGTTGTTGCTTTATACTTCCGCTGTTTTGATGTTGGGAATGCCGCCCAAAAATAGAAAAAAAGGTAGGCGATGGGACGACCTTCACTCACGCAGACGCTAGGAGAGTTCAAGGGGTGGACCTGAACCATCGCAAGGGAGAAAAAGGAGGGAGCCACAGGGAGACGCCATGTTTGCACAGAGCCAATAGCTCTAAGACAGCTCGGTTATTTCTTTTTTTTTTAAATAAAAGGGGTTCCATTGTGATATTTTATTCTCGAGGCATCACATGCAAAAAAGCTGATTTTCCAGGGAACCTTGAAGGGGATAAAATGATAGAGGCATAGGAAGACGCCATGTTTTCACAGAGCCAACAGCTCTAAGACAGCTTGCCTTGTATTATTATTTATTAAATACAAAGGTTCCATAGTGAGATTTTATACTTGAGACATCACATGCAAATAATTATAGTAGATTAAAAAATTAATCTAAAAAACCACGTTTTCAAAAAGCAAAAAATAACCTTAAATGTGGTGCGCATCTATTTCATTTGTATTTCACTTCTTCCCAACAATCTCCATGCGCACCACGTTTAAGGTTATTTTTTGCTTTTTGAAAACGTGGTTTTTTAGATTAATTTTTTAATCTACTATAATTATTTTATTCTTTTTAAAAAATATTCTTAAAATTTATTTTTTCACAAAAGATTGCATTGTCATCAGTTTCTAGGCTATCCTGAAAGTTTCAGCTTGATAGCTAGTCGGGAAGTGAGTGAAATTTGAGTTTCAAAATTTGATCCGGACAAACAGACAGACAGACAGACAAGAAAAGTGAGTTCATAAAAACGTGGTAAAATAGCTCATCAAGCCAGGGAACCTTGAAGGGGAGAAAATGGAGGGAGACGCCATGTTTGCACAGAGCCAACAGCTCTAAGACAACTTGCCTTTCATTTTTCCAAAATACAAAGGTTCCACAGTGATATTTTATACTTGGGAGAGTTGAGACACATGCAAAAATAGCTGATGATCCAGGGAACCCTGAAGGGGGAAAATGGAGGAAGCCACAGGGATACGCCATGTTTGCACAGAGCCTACAGCTCTAAGACAGGCGCCTTTTCTCAAAAACAAAATATGTAAACGCTTGACAGGAAGAGTTCAGGAATTTCAAGGAAAATAACCGACATTTCAAGGATTTTATTTATACTCTACTGAAAACTCAGTCATCTTTTAACTTTAATATCAAAAAATAAAAGTGACCTAGTTTTAAAACCTGGTTCGAAAAATGTTTCCCTCAGAATGGACTTGATCTCAACCCGGAAATTCATAAAGAATTCAGATCAAATAGATAAGCACTAGGAAGCTAATAAAATATTTAAAAACGAAACTAAAACATTTCCCAAGAGCCTCCGATTTTGTTCTAAAAAAAAAACGTTCATGGAAAATACCTTTAAATGCGAAAATGTTCCACTCATGAGTAAGGTCATCATTTCATGCATATTTTCCAAATTTTTAATTACGATATAATTGTCTTCGAATATTAACGATTTTCCTCGCAAAATTACCCAGACCAGATAATTGAGGGTTCGCTCCATTTCTCCCATACAACAGCGTATGGATCGAAAATACACCTGCGACCTTCTCAAGGAGTGAATAATTTCCGAGAGGAATGTTGACCCAATGTGACCCAAAATAACCTCACCACGAACAGTCCACATTTAACCTCACATCAGACTTAAACAGCGGCTCAAACGTAAATAAATGTTGAAAAAAAAACACAAAGAAAACATTCCTTCTTGTAAGAAGAAAAAGGAGATTACAATTATTCCTAAAATTTCCTCTTCAAGACTGGTTCAACAAAATGATGCACTACTCCAAAACACTGTTGTCAAAATCGACGAAAAATACTCCATGATTAAAGTTTCTGAAAATCCCAGAAAACATGCCTTTGAGCAAAATGAGAGCGGAAAATAACTCTTCCCCACAAATTTCTTCTAAATAAATCCAATAAAACTGACACCCAGTCAAGTACAGTTCCAACACACCTGTTCAAAAAAAAAAGAAGTTGAACAAAACTCAATGAATGTTTAAAAAAAACAATACAAAATATTCCTCCCCTTAAATGGAGAGAATAAAATTGTCTTTCTTCAAAAGTGGTCCAATAAAGTGACAATTAAAATATCAAAATATTTCCCAAAAAAATCAAGTTTCATGAAAATCAAATGCGGTAAGTATAATTCTGAATACAGGAATTTCCTGAAATTATAAATTTGACAGAAGAATTTCACAAATTCGCAAAATAATTTCTAAAGGGTTCCAAAGCAGTTCCTTCAAGTTAAACAAGGAAAAACTGCAAAACTTGCCCCTCCTTCGATAAAAAAAAACAAACAGAAATTCATTCAAAACGACGGAAGAAAGAATCAAACCACCGAAAGGACAATCATTAAAAAAAATCTTAATACAATAGAATCTCTTCACAACGAAGTACAGTAATTTTTAGGCCCCTGCCGAATACAGTAACCACAATGTTAAATGAAGTATTTTATAACGAATTCTTCTTTACAAATGATCTATTATCTCCTGGTCCCAAGGTCTACTTTGTAACGACATTTTTAGTGTATAAATACTGTTATTTAAAAAGTGGCGAAATGTCAGTAAAATATAACCTTCAACACAAATTCTGCTACAGACCCAATCCATCATCCCAAAACCTCATCATCAACACATCCTTGAAAAATTAATTGAGCAAAACTGCAAAGTGTAACACGAAAAACACGCGCACACAGTCTCACTTTAGTCTCAAGTCATTCAATCCACACAAGGTTATTGATTCAAACCAGTTCCAAGTACTGGATCCCATGGGTGTGGGAAATAAATAAAAAAAATTAAAGAAGGAAAGGAAGTGTACAGTAATATAAAAGGCAAACACTCCCACGCTTCTGTTTGCCTACACCGAAGTCCCAAGTCTGCTCGGGTGAAACGAATTCCAAGAATGGTCTCTATATCACAAGATTTTAAATTAAAATCCCACGAAAAAACTATGTCCACGTCTAATCAAGGAATCTAAAAAAAAAATAACGAGCACAAAGGCGTTCAATTTTCTTCAAAATATGAAGCTAGATATGAAAAAAAACGTGGATTAGAAGATTTCCCCTCAAAAACAATATTTCAGCGTCTCATAAAATCATCTGACAAAAATGGTTCAATTTTCCCTCAACATTCAAAGCAAAAATCATAATATTTCATAAAAAAAAAAAAAAAGATCTTCATCAGAATGGTTTAAAATGCCAAAAAATTTTGACCAAATATTTAGGAAAAATGATGAAAGGCGTTCAATTTTCTTCATGCAGATCTTCGTACCATTTTTTTTAAACACGTAAAAAAAAGGGTCTTCATGAGTAGGTTGAAAACCCCACAGAAAATTGTTTCAGCATCTCATTAAAAAATGTAAAAACGCGGTTTATTCTATTCAAAAAAAATCCTCGCCATTTCTTGAGAAACACATCAAAATGTATTTTCTCGAGATAAAAAATTCGTTCCTCTATATTAAAAAAATGGTAAATTGCGAAACAATTCTTCGTCTGTTATTACGAGGGTTAGACAAGTGAAAAAAGTCCTCGAAATTCAATATTCGAAAATATTTTAGGTCAATTTCGAATCGCTCAAAAATTCAATGCCTTCTGTTTGCCGACATAAGTTTCAGTCTGCTCGAGTGAAACAAATTTCCAGTATGATCTTCATATCAAATTTCAAGTCCCACAAAAATAATTCCAATAAATGGCTCAAGCTTTTTCTATTAAAAAGAAATATTTCTTCGCGTGATCCCTCAAAAAACGCAAAAATCCCTTTTCATGCCGAATGAGCAAAAATTTCCTTCTGAATATTTTTCGTACGCTACTAAAAAAAAAAAATCTTGTTTTCTTGTGCTAAGGTCAGGAGGAAGATTCAGAATTTTTAAAATACGTTCTATGCTCTTCTCAAAGCGCTTAAAAATTATTGAATGCCTCCAGTGGGAAATCGAAAATATGTATGTTAGCAAAATTTTAATAGACAAAGTTCAACGTTTCAAAAACTTCACCTCTTGCGTAAACCTCATTTCCTCTAAAAAAAAAAGGTATTTTTTAAAAATAATGAATGCTAAAATAAGCGTTCGTGACTTAGAAATAAGTCCTTTTCGAAAACGTGACAGACAAGGGCCAACACAGATTTTATGAGATAAATCACTCACGAAGTTTCTCCGCTGAGCTAAACCAAAACCAAAATATTGTAACGTACAGAATTTATCCGCATAATGGACGCCTCACACGTACAAAACAAATGGACCCTGTCTTTCCCCAATTCATGCTTCGGATAGTGGACTCCTTGAAGGTTGTCCTCCACAAAATGAACCCTGTCTTTCCCCAATTTATGCTTCGGATAGTGGACTACATGAAGGTTGTCCTCCAAAAAATAGACCCTGTATTTCCCCAACGTATGCTTCGGATAGTGGACTCCTTGAAGGTCATTCCCCAATTTATTCTTCGGATAGTGGACTCCTTGAAGGTTGTCCTCCAGAAATTGGACCCGGTCATTCCCCGATTTATGCTTCGGATAGTGGACTACATGGAGGTTGTCCTCCAAAAAATAGATCCTGTCTTTCCCCAATGTATGCTTCGGATAGTGGACTCCTTGAAGATCATTCGCCAATTTATGCTTCGGATAGTGGACTCCTTGAAGGTTGTCCTCCAAAAAAATAGAACCCTGTCTATCCCCAATTCATGCTTCGGATAGTGGAATACATGAAGGTTGTCCACCGAAAAAATAAAAGTTTTATGCGGGATTGCCAGCATAATTTTCCGAGCGGATAATCGCTTTTAGGATTCTCGTGATCGCATTGAGAATTTATTTTCATCTTTTTCGGGTGTTTTCAACGACATTTCAATTTTTTTAAATGTTCAATATGCATTTATTCTGCATCCATAATTTAGCTGAGAATGTAAGAGGGAAATTGCCAGAGGATTCCGAGCAGCTCAGAAATTCCTTAAACTGCGTAGAGCTTCACATTATTCAGTGAAAGAGATTTTTTTATGCCTGGGACAAATTATACATTGTTTTACATAAGTTGTTACTTTTCCGAAACTGGATTTTCTGTTCCAACGGCACAAGTTCGAAACCTGATGCGCCACTGAAAATTCCAGATACAGACTGCTACATTTTTTTTTACAAAGAACAGGTACAAACTGCAGTCAAAAATGATGGAGAAAAAGCTCTAAAGCACAGTTTAAAAAGGACGAGTTCACTAACCGAGACACCACTGTGAATACCTCATAAAAACTTATCTTCAACATGAACAAACGAAACATAAACATCTCACTTGAAAATGTGCAAAACATTCAGACCCCAGTTGAAAAGTCCATTAACTGAAGCGCCACCATAAATGTCAGAGATGAACTACGCAATTACCTTCATTATAAAAATATGAAGGAATCCTGGTCAACATTTAAAATGCAAGGAAAGGACAGTTCCTAATTTTTTTTTTACCTCAACAAGTCCATTATCCGAAGCACTACTACATGTACAAGACAAATAAGTATATAATAACCTTCCCTTTCAAAGGATGATCAAAGAAAAGTAGAACAAAAAAGTTTCTCTCAAAAACGTTTTAATGCACAAACAACTTTTGTTCGTTTTCTAAATTTTTCCCTGATAAGTCCGTTAACCGATGCATCAATGCTTAAAAAAAAAAGATTCACGCATTAACCTTCAATATATAAAACAGAACAAATAAATACCTCTCCAAAAACATTCTAATACACAGAAGTTTCTTGTCCCAAAAACAAATACAGTACATCCCCAAGAGTCCATTAACCGAGGCACTAACATATAAACGAGATATGAACCATGAAATAACCATCACTGTAAAAGAATACAATTACAATTAAATTAATCACAACAACAAAAAACGTACAAATGCTATAAGAAGACGTTTCTTTTCCCTCTGATTTCTTTTTTCTTTTTGTACCAGAGTAAGTCCATTATCCGAGGCATCGCCGTAAAAAAATTATAAGAAAAATAATACCGATGAAATAAAATAAATCTCACCTAGTATGTCTTGTTCGGGTATTTCTTGGAGCTGAAGTGCAGAGTCCAGACTGCGATTCCTGTGGTGCCCCACTGCCTTACCCGGGATGGGAAGTGGAAACCTTGGGCCAGTCTGTGCTGAGGCAGTTGCTGCTGAAATCAGACTCGACATCTCCTTCCCCAACGGCTTCCTGTGGAGAATAAACGACAATACAATGCCTCTTGAGGAAGAAGAACAAGAGGAACACCGGTGGAGTTCATTGTTGAAAAACAGACTGGTGTGTGTGTGTGTGTGTGTGACTGGTGAGAAAGGGAAGAAGGAATCTTGAGAAGCCAGCCTTCTTATCCGGGTTTCCTTATAATACTCTGTGAAACTGACAGGAAGAATAAGCCGCTGTCTCAGACAAATAAAAAAAAACTCAATTTGTCAGAAAAGATAAAGAAATCATATTCCGAAATACATGAGACCTTCCATCCTAAAAAAAAAATGCAAGAAAAAAATCTTTGATGACAATTCAAGAAAATTACTATAAAATTAAAAACAAGTTTCTGAAAATTAAAAATTCCTTTTTTCCCAAAAATTAATTATTTAATGACCTTGAGCAACAATTTTAAGTCACATGGTTTGTAAATACAGCACCTATTCCCCTTTAAACTGTCTCCTTCCAGGATTATGAAATCTTGATTTTTTTTTTCAATGACACATCAATGAATACAAAAAATCATAAATCCAAAATGCATGCAACAACAGTAAGTTACAAAGATAAAAGAAAGTTCCAACACGTTTCTAGCACTTCAGGGGAGCTCAAAAATAAATTCATTCAAGATTATTCAATACAGGGAGGAAAGCTGAAAAAAAATCATATTTAAGAATTTAAGTCAATTTATTTTTCCCAGAACTTCACTCATGTGTAAGCATCATTTCATAATCAATGTAATAACATACAGTACATAAATCTGACAGTAAACTTAACCATCAGGGATCCCTGAAACACGTTCAGAGCAACTGTCAAGAAGAAGCCATATTCTCCACACACACACATCAGCAAATAATAGCAACAACAACTTTGGTTCAAGTCAAAAATAAATTTTAGCTAAACAACACATTCAGCTATGAAAACAGAAACCTTCCAGTACAACACCTGAAGTGGGACATCAGAAAATAAAATATCCAGCCAGAGGCAATTCGAATCCAAATTTCACAAATCCTGATTTAAGGTTTTAAAATATATTCAAAAACATATAAAAATAATGCTTGATTGTCAACTATAAGGCAATCAAAATGCATCAATAAAAAAATTTAGTAGATTAAAAAATTAATCTAAAAAACCACNAGGTTGTCCTCCAAAAAAATAGAACCCTGTCTATCCCCAATTCATGCTTCGGATAGTGGAATACATGAAGGTTGTCCACCGAAAAAATAAAAGTTTTATGCGGGATTGCCAGCATAATTTTCCGAGCGGATAATCGCTTTTAGGATTCTCGTGATCGCATTGAGAATTTATTTTCATCTTTTTCGGGTGTTTTCAACGACATTTCAATTTTTTTAAATGTTCAATATGCATTTATTCTCCATCCATAATTTAGCTGAGAATGTGCAAGGGAAATTGCCAGAGGATTCCGAGCGGCTCAGAAATTCCTTAAACTGCGTAGAGCTTCACATTATTCAGTGAAGGGGATTTTTTGAGGCCTGGGACAAATAATACATAGTTTTACATAAGTTGTCATTTTTCAGAAACTGGATTTCCTGTTCAAACGGCACAAGTTCCAAAACTGAACCACCACTGAAAATTCCAGATACGGACTGCTACATCATAAAAAAAAACAGGAGGTACAAACTGGTCAAAAATGATGAAAGAAGCTCTAAAGCACAGTTTAAAAAGGACAAGTTCACTAAACGAGACACCACTGTGAATACCTCATAAAAAATTTCATCTTTAACATGAAAAAACGAAACGAAAACAATTGAATCTCACTTGAAAACGTGCAAAACATTCAGACCCCCACTTGAAAAGTCCATTAGCTGAAGCGCCACCATAAATGTCAACATTCAAAATGCAAGGAAAGGACAGTTCCTAATTTTTTTTTTACCTCAACAAGTCCATTATCCGAAGCACTACTACATACACAAAACAAAAAAGTATAAAATAACCTTCACTTTCAAAGTATAATCAAAGAAAAACTGAACAAAAAAGTTTCTCTCAAAAACGTTTTAATGCACAAAAAACTTTCTTTCCCATTTTAATTTTTCCCTGATAAGTCCGTTAACCGATGCATCACTGCATAAAAAAGATAAAATCCACGCATTAACCTTCAATATATAAAAAAGAACAAATAAATACCTCTCCAAAAACATTCTAATTCACAGGAGAACTTTCTTGTCCCAAAAACAAATACAGTACATCCCCAAGAGTCCATTAACCGAGGCACTACAGTATAAACAAGACCTGAACTATGAAATACCCATCACTTTCATGAATACATTAGAATACAATTACAAATGAATTAATCACAACAACAAAACACGTTCAAATGCTAAGAAGACGTTTCCTTCCCTCTGATTTCTTTTTTCTTTTTGTACCAGAGTAAGTCCATTATCCGAGGCATCGCCGTAAAAAATTGTAAGAAAAATAATACCGATAAAATAAAATAAATCTCACCTAGTATGTCTTGTTCGGGTATTTCTTGGAGCTGAAGTGCAGAGTCCAGACTGCGATTCCTGTGGTGCCCCACTGCCTTACCCGGGATGGGAAGTGGAAACCTTGGGCCAGTCTGTGCTGAGGCAGTTGCTGCTGAAATCAGACTCGACATCTCCTTCCCCAACGGCTTCCTGTGGAGAATAAACGACAATACAATGCCTCTTGAGGAAGAAGAACAAGAGGAACACCGGTGGAGTTCATTGTTGAAAAACAGACTGGTGTGTGTGTGTGTGTGTGTGTGACTGGTGAGAAAGGGAAGAAGGAATCTTGAGAAGCCAGCCTTCTTATCCGGGTTTCCTTATAATACTCAGTGAAACTGACAGGAAGAATAAGCCGTTGTCTCAGACAAATATAAAAAAAGCTCAATTTGTCAGAAAAGATAAAGAAATCATATTCCGAAATACATGAGACCTTCCATCCTAAAAAAAAAAAATGCAAGAAAAAAATCTTTGATGACAATTTAAGAAAATTACTATAAAATTAAAAACAAGTTTTTGAAAATTAAAAATTCCTTTTTTCCCAAAAATTCATTATTTAATGACCTTGAGCAACAATTTTAAGTCACATGGTTTGTGAATACAGCACCAATTCCCCTTTAAACTGTCTCCTTCCAGGATTATGAAATCTTGATTTTTTTTTCAATGACACATCAATGAATACAAAAAAATCATAAATCCAAAATGCATGCAACAACAGTAAGTTACAAAGATAAAAAAGTCTCAGACAAATAAAAAAAAGCTCAATTTGTCAGAAAAGATAAAGAAATCATATTCCAAAATACATGAGACCTTCCATTCTAAAAAAAAAATGCAAGAAAAAAATCTTTGATGACAATTTAAGAAAATTACTATAAAATTAAAAACAAGTTTTTGAAAATTAAAATTAATTTTTTCCTAAAAATTAATTATTTAATGACCTTGAGCAACAATTATCAGTCACATGGCTTGTAAGTACAATACCAATTCCCCTTTAAACTGTCTCCTTCCAGGATTATGAAATCTTGATTTTCTTTTTCAATGACACATCAATGAATACAAAAAATCATAAATCCAAAATGCATGCAACAACAGTAAGTTACAAAGATAAAAAAAAGTTCCAACACGTTTCTAGCACTTCAGGGGAGCTCAAAAATAAATTCATTCAAGATTATTCAATACAGGGAGGAAAGCTGAAAAAAAAATCATATTTAAAAATTCAAGTCAATATATTTTTCCTAGAACTTCACTCATGTGTAAGCATCATTTCATGATCAAAGCAATAACATACAGTACATAAATCTGACAGTAAACTTGACCATCAGGGATCCCTGAAACACGTTCAGAGCAACTGTCAAGAAGAAGCCATATTCTCCACACACACACATCAGCAAATAATAGCAACAACAACTATGGTTCAAGTCAAAAATAAATTTTAGCTAAACAACACATTCAGCTATGAAAACAGAAACCTTCCAGTACAACACCTGAAGTGGGACATCAGAAAATAAAATATCCAGCTAGAGGCAATTTGAATCCAAATTTCACAAATCTTAATTTAAGGATTTTAAAATATATTCAAAAACATATAAAAATAATGCTTGATTGTCAACTATAAGGCAGTCAAAATGCATCAATAAAATTAAGGAAAATGGAATATTTTGTAGGACTTGGATCAACTGGCTTAAAAAAAACATACTCTACCAATAAATCGCTCCATTTAATGGGCTGAATAAGACAGAACAGCTGGATCTCATTTTCGTTTCCGTGTCACCAAGTGTTCAATTACGACTGATATCAAAACCATCTAATCCGCAATCCGGATCAAATTACAAACATCAATGTGTGGCCAACAACTCACAGGTGCTCCATCATTCATTTCTGATCTCCTTTCTCTTTACGAAATTATTTTGAACAAATTTGAGAGTGAAGGAATAAGAGGAATGAATCAAAATATCTGTCAAAAGATTGAAATTTATCATTTCGGGCATTCAAATTTATGAATCACCATTTCGAAAACTACTGCGAAATGAAAAAAATAAATGAAAGTTGAATCAACCCCTTTATTGTAAATGGGCCAAAGATGCAATTCAAAACATGTCCTGAAATTAGCCATTCTACATTTTAGGGAATCTTCTACATCACAATTTTAAAGATAAGAACATGGTTGTCTGAAACTCCGAAGATTTTCATATGACAGTACATTGAAATATTTCTTGAACAAAAGTTGGGTTTATTCACTCAAAAACAGCTGACTGTATAGTTTTAGTAACATTTTGAACTGGGATTTTGTTCAAAATGGGGTTTTTTATTATGTCAAGTGCTTCTGCAACAAATAATCCTAGTTTTTAAAAAAACCGTGACAAAAAAAAAACTTTGGAAGCAACCCTCGCGCATTTACTTCAATAAAAATATCAACGAAGTACCCAACTTATGTCTGGACGGACCAGACTTTTCAACACCCACACCCACAAAAGAAAAGAATTTTGCAAAATAATCCCTTCACGTCCACCGACATTTTCGCACACTGACAAGAGATTTTTCCGCCCTGGCTCACAAAATAATCCCATTATCGCTCTCCTGAAAAACCCGGCAACGCCCAAGAAGCTTCAACACAAGATATGTTGAAAAAACAAAACACACAGAAAAATTATACATATACTGTATATATGGTGGGTGGTTAGGACTGGAAACAAAACAACACATACCCCAAGAAAATGGTCGACACAGCAAAAAGCATTTTGCTCTCAGTCTTGTGACACACGCCTTCACGATCGCAAAAAACAAAAACGAACACACGCAATCGAGAAGCAGCTCTATAAAGGAAATTAGGACAGTATTTAACATGAAAAAGATTCAAAATTTTTCTTCACACCATTCACTAATTTTTTTCTTAAAAAATTTTGTTTCTACACATAATTTACATTTTTAAATGCAAAAAACGGAAGGTTATTTCACGATTATCAACATCATCACTTCGTCAACAAAATAACTCCAAAGCAGTTAATTTATACAAAAATACAATAAAGATTAAAAAAGAGTTTTCTAATTTTCCCATCGAATCTAACATAATTTGTAAAAGAATCCTCTACCTAAAAGCACACACACAAAAAAATTAAACGTAGCTGGAATCGCTTCAGGCCATTCGATGATTACATTTAACCTCGTAAACTCAATTTTTTAAAAAAAACCAACCATCGAATGAATAAGTAGAAGAGAAAAACGGAATCCTACCAATATTCCAAGGTGATTCCAAGACTTGAATATTCGACAAGGAAGTGAAGTTCAAAGAACCTAAACAAAAAAATCCAAATAAGGACGCCCATTTTTTTCTTTTAGTCTAAAGAAAAACAACATCGTCTTTTACGTAGGAAAACTTACGATAATCACAAAAACATGCCATCACAAATCCGGAGAAGATGTTTAATCAATTCACATTTTCTCAGCAGTAGAAAGCACTAAATATTTGACCAGGAAGGTCTTCTTGAAGAAAAGAAAAAAATTGGGAATTTCAAGGTTTTTAAATTTTGCAAAAGGTACAATTTATGCGATCATCATAAGATCAATCAACGAATTCCTCCCAATATTCGCCAGCGTTGAATTATTTAAATGCAAAAATGAATAAATAATGTCGACAAATTTTCTCCTGAAAAAATAAAAACATTTTGGCAATTTTTCATATAGGAAGATGTTGACTCGTACACCATTGAAAGTAAAAATTCCAAACATTCACAATTCAAAATTTCCAAAATTCAAATTTTTGACAGAAAGATTATAAAATTATACGTAGAAAAGACGCCTTAAATTTTTGTAATGTAAAATTTCACGATAAAATGAATTTCAAAATGAGCTTCCCCCGAAAAACTAGACACAGAAAATGATATTTCAAAAAGAGGTGCTCCACGAAAAATTCAATTTCTGCGCCTCCTGAAGATCAATGTGACAAATGTTTCAATTTTTTTTAGTAGTGCAAGAATAAATTCCGGGAAAAAAATAATTTTCCTTTCGGGTCAGTCGAACACACGGGATGAGGTAACTCTCTCAACTCATGGTTGAACATTTGCATTTTATTCTTCGAACACGTGGTTGACAAATACACGCCATCATATGGTCA